AGAGATATTCAGGTTCCAACGAAAATTTCTTTGGACGATTGTTAGGAAGTATTTTCTGTGTCACGTGGACCTTCCTGTGAGTTATCTTCTCAATCTACTTCGTTAATTTTTCCAACATTTTTTTTTTATTTCTCGTCTTTTTATATATGATGCCAGTGTCAGTACAAAAAAATAGTGAGTGTGCGAGCGAGAGAGGCGGCGATGAACGAAAGAGAGAGTGAATCGACAACACAGCGGCGGCGGCGGACGGAGGAGGGAGGGGCCGTGCAAGAGTGAGAGGGAATGCGAGAGGAGAGGGAGAGGGAAGAGGGAGAGAGGGGCAAGGGGACAGAGGGGGAGGGAGAAGAGAGAGAGAGAGAGAGAGAGAAGCGGCTGGACGAGGAGAGTTGAACGCGCGGCAGGACTGGACGATACCCGGAGGGGTCATCACCCTCTCCCCTAGCCGAGGCGTTTATTATCCAAACACGAATGAAAAGTGATCCATCAGAACAAAGTGCCGCAACAACGCGTAAGTCGCCGTCAAAACGCGTAAGAAAAACAACCTCCACCTGCTTTATCGCAGAGGGCGCCCGTCAGAGTGGATTTATAGGAAGTCAAAAGGTCCGCGTTGCAGCAATGAAACTTTGACAGTTTTATTTCATGTCTCTTCAAACTTTTTGCAAACTAGTTCTTTGGTGAGTTTTCTTTGCGGTGGGTGCTGCTAGGCTAGGGTCAGCGAGCATTGTCGCGCAAAAAGAGGTTTTAAGGCCCGTTACCATGAGAGTTGCGAGGCCACAGCAGTAAACCCACACATGTTGTGGGACGACGCATGATAAACACCTGAGCACCTCGCACTTCGCGGTGCAGGCTCATTGTTTTCCACATCGTCGGAAATTTAGACAAATAATGAAAACAAGTACCAAACATACGTATTCTGGGAGCGGATGTGGTCTGCTTCCGGAACAACAAATTTCTTTGAGCAGAGGGTGTAACATTTGAGCCCCAACAACAAACATTAGCGAGCCCGTTTGGCCCTCGAGAGTTAGTTCCAGCGCGAGTTCAGTGCCCTGCCCGGGAACTAACGACAGCGGGTGCAGTGGGCGGCCGCGTCAAGATTCCACACCAGCATGGGGAAGACGTTAAAAAGACATCCTACACGGCACTTTGCAGCAAACTGAAGCTCGATAAGTCACCACCTCTCAACGTTTTGTGAATACAAAAAAAACAACAAAAAGTCAAACATTGTCAAATTGCAAGATTGTGTTTTTGTTACTGTGTTATTGTTGAATTAGTTAATTTCTTGCGATAATTTGAGAAAACTGCTTACGAGCGCTCGACTGAAACCTAAACTCAGGATGGTGAATGGTGAGGAGGGCAGGAGGGCACGAAGATCTGACTATGAGAAGAGAGTTATGTTTGGACTGGCAGCGGTATTGAGCTTATCCTAGGGTCTTAAAATTAGCATTGTCACTATCCCAAAAAATCATTTATTAGAGAATTCTTGCCGTCAAAATCACTTAAAATTTGTTTACAATATTAAATGATTCCAAGGCAAACACAAAATCAACAAAAACAAGATAGCAAGTTTGTGTTTTTGCTACAGCTCGAGTCACATGTGGCGACGGCATCAATCTGTTCACCACTCCCTATCCACCCGCAACAATAATAAAATAGCATTGCGGTCTCGCCGCGTCACGGCGATGTCCGCTATAAAGCTGGCTGATCACCCAGCATCTCTAGAGATTGGAGGGGGGGGGGGAGCAGAAGGGGCTCCGTGCCAAGCATCAGCGGCAGCAGCGGTCGAGGGCCAAAATGACGTCGCAGGCCCGGTAGGCCCCCGGCAGGCCCGTTGGCCTTGACACCGTGAGCGGACAACCCAGCCCAGCCCAGCCCGGGCCCACCGCTGACACGGGAACCGCGCCGCACCAACAGCAGCACCGCAGGCCGACAGACGGGCCGGCAGGTGGCGGAGGCACCGCTATTGTCTGCGCCATTAGCGCGGACGAGGAGCAGACGCCCCGGGGAGGTCGGAAGAGCGCGGCTCAGGGGGGCAAACTGGTCCTGCTCTGCCGAGGCAACGGAAGGATAGCACTCCTTGTAGCAAGCGTCTGGACGTCACCGACTCTTATTAGCGCGCGCAAATGGCCGGTAGCTAGCTAAAGGGCTCTGGGGAGAGATATTCAGGTTCCAACGAAAATTTCTTTGGACGATTGTTAGGAAGTATTTTCTGTGTCACGTGGACCTTCCTGTGAGTTATCTTCTCAATC